AGTGTGTGTGTGTGTGCGTGTGTGTGTGCGTGGCATGTGTGTGTGTTTTCACTCATCTGCTTCTTTTTCAAAACTCATATACTTGTATATTTTTTACTTTTCAAATATTAACTCATCACAAAACTTCTCTTCTCGATTCTCGTTTGAAGCTCAAAATCTGTAAAGGTGGAGGTCTTGGTTTCTGGTCCAGTTGACTTGACCTTTTGGTGGTGACCTTGAAAAGTTTAAATAAAGGGTCTGACCTTAAAAGAGCTTGAGTCGGTATTTTAATGTCCTATGTACACACGTATGTTAGGTATTTGTTAGGAAAACAAAACTTTCAATTAAGTTTTTCATTGAACTGTTCAGAGTTTATCACATACCCATACACACACACCACACACACATACACACACACACGCACACACACGCACGCACACACACGCACGCACACACGCACGCACACACACTCACTCTCACACACGTATGCACGCACACACAAACATAAACAAGTAAAGACATGCAAGCCTGTAGTAGACACATTAAGAAAATAATTACCAAAAATAGCAAATATTACGGTAGAAATAATTTTGGGATCGTAAAATTATTAACCAATCAAATCGCACCAAATTTACTTCAATTTAATTGGCTGCCTAAAACATCCTTCAATTTGATTGGCTGCAAAAAAACAAGAACAAAGAAAAATTATTTTTACAACTCTACTATACCCTAGACAATGTAATAAGATGTGTATAAATATATGAGTGTGTTTGATATATATTTGTTCACTCATTTTTCTCCTTCTCGGTTGACATTGTAGGATAGATACTATATCTATTTTGCAAAGTTAGTATCATTTTTATTTTTTTTGTAATTGTTGCTATTTGTTATTATTATTGTTGGTAATTTTTAATATTATTCATATTTACTGGTCATATTTTTCATGTTTTATATTTTAATTTGTGAAATTATTTTAATCGTAAGCTGTGAATGAGTCCATTTATAATTTATTACATCGTTAGTCTAATTAATATCTTAGTACGAATTAATAAACTTGATTAATTTAAATAATTAATTAACTGGATTAATTAATAAAGATGATTGGATTAAACTTTAAAGGCTTCTGAAAGACGTCCCCACCACATCCTCATCATCACATCATCATCGTTATTATCATAATCGGTGATTGTTATTATCATTATCATCGTAATTAACTTATCATCATCGTCGTCCTAAGTTATCATTGTCTAAAAGTTAGTATCATTAATGTTGATTGTGATGCAGAAGTTGCACGGCTGCTTTAAAGTTTGTATCCTCTTCTTAGAAGATCATTGAAGATGAGTTCATCATCATCATTGTTGTTTTCATCATTATCATCATCACAGTTATTTTTACTAGCACTCATGCAAACAACATCATCACAATCATCGTCGTCGTCTTCATCGTCATTTCTATCATCGCAAAGGCGAGTTACAGCTTCATCATTATCATCACCATCAGCACTAGGATCATCATCATCATCACCACTACTACTATCATCAACGCTGCAATCGTCACCATTATCATCACCAACCGTATCATCATCATCATCAATGGAAACATCATCATCATCAGCACCAACAATTCAATCATTATCATTTTCAATGGAAACATCATAATCAGTACTAACGGAATCATCATCACTCCCACTAACAACTGGATCATTACCATCATCGCGAGAAAGTTATTATCCTCCATCTAATTTCAACCCCCACCTACTCTCCAAATCCAAAAATTCCGAACCTTCAGCCAAACACCTGATGAGGAAGTTCTACAGCCACCATGATGACTTCATGCACCAAAACCCATATTATGGGCGACGAAGTGCCTACCTCGCTTCGCACCCTCTCCACTTTTTCTGTTCGCACCTCAGAGACCCCAGGACCGACACATTCTTTTTAGTAGAGAATGAGGAATTTCAATACTCAAGCTCCCAAAGATCTTCATACTTCCTCTTCCGCCAGTGTCACCGGATGAAAACTGTCTCCAAGAAATTCTCAGACCTTAAGAAAACATTCAAAGTCAAAACGTACCGTCACAAACGGGTCGAACACATCACCACTCCACTCCACAGCTCAAAATGGCGACCGAGAACCGACACCGAACGAGTCAAATACGAATTAGATTCGCAAGATTCGATCGATTCTCTCGGGAATGTGTCCTCGATTCGACATTTGATTCTCAGAACCGACTCGAAACTTCAAATGTTACAGCTAGAAGATGCAGAATCGTTGAAAAAAATAACCCAACTGTGCAACACCATTATCAAATTGGACGCCTACAACAAAGAATTTGATGAAAAGTTTAAATTGGAGCCACTAGAGCTAAATGCAGAGTCACCAAACTCGCAATAAAAGTCTGATGGTGATGACGATTTTTGTCATTATTGCTATTAGTGTATTTATTACTACTAGATGTAGTAGGTTGAGGTTGTAGTAGTAGTAGTATTAGTATTAGTATTAGTAGTAGTAGTAGTAGTAGTAGTAGTAGTAGTAGAGTAGTAGTAGTATTAGTAGTAGTAGTAGTAGTGGTAGTACTAGTGGTAGTACTGTTGTTATTATGCCCGTGATATTGATTGTGTTTAATGGCCGTATTCAAGATGATAAGAATTGCCGTCTGTCACATTTAGCACTGAAGATATGAACCTGCTGACATTGAAATAATTATCGTCAGTGTTGTTAAAATTTAGTATCTATTAAAATGTCGATACATTGTTTTGAATGGGTTGTTAAAATAGCTGACAGAGTGAGTATCTTGAATCTACCGAATATGTATCAATGCCTAAACTGAAAAATGGAGTTCGATCATTGTTTTGAATTGTGTGTTAAAACTGCTAATATAATCACTTACGCTGGTAGCTTTTTTTTTACTAGATTTACATGGTATAAGGTACGCTACGATGAACATCCAAACGTATGAAAACCAACACGGATACCAAAAATGTATTTTTTTTCTCCCCAGATGGCAGAACTAATAAATAATTGGTGAATATTTCGTGTTAGGCTTATATATCAAATATCACAAATACACAAACTTATACAATAATACCCAAACTGATACAACAAATACTCAAATTAATACATAATTGCACGAACATTTCAAATTCAAAGATTTTCCAAAATTATTTTTCACGTAAAAACGTTAGCTAAATCGGTGATATCAACACAGATTTCATTGATTTTTCATTTAAATTAAACTTTTTTTAAACTGGGGAGAGAGAGAAAGAGAGAGAGACAGAAAGAGAAAGTGAAAGAGAGAGAGAGAGAGAGAGAGAGAGAGAGAGACAGTTAGAGAAAGAGAGAGAGAAAGTTAAAAAAAAATTAAGTATCTATATATTATTGTTAGAGATTTGAACTTTAGCTATCCAACATTTTGGATCATTTTTCTACTTTTCCCACATCTTTTTTCATTTGCATCTGTCAGTATGCATGCGTGTCTGTCTGTGTGTGTGTNAGTGTATGTGTGTGTTTGTCAGTGTATGTGTCTGTGTGTGTGTGTTAAGTACATATTTGTTAATTCATGTAACACATATAAAACAAATCCTTAGGTTTATTGATCAAACTTTTTGAGATAGATTATAAACAGCAGCTTATTGATGACATATGGTGAGCGTGGTTAGGGGTCTTTAGGGTAGCCGCATCGTAATAGCATACTGAAAATGGCAAAGGGGGTACACACTTTAGCCCACGGGTAAGAATTAGGGACCGTAAACGAGTATGAAAACTCGTCTTACGCCAAAAAATGTATTACTATTCCATCTAAAACATTCTTTCGTATTATAAAATTGTCTCTACTAATGCGTTTGTTCATTTTTCTCTGTTTTGCATTTTTGACAACAACTACAACGACTACTACTACTACTACTACTACTACTACTACTGCTACTACTACTGGTGCTGTTACTACTACTACTACTACTAATAATAATAATAATAATAAAAACAATGATAATAATAATAATAACACAATGACGGACAGCAAGCCAAACGTAGGCATAAAATATTTTTCCATCTCCAGCATGTCGAAGGAGAGAAGAGAAAAAAAATATCAAAAGAAATGGACGCACCCAGTTCATTTGCATAAATCTGACGCCATGACACTTCCAATATGGCCGCCATAAAATAATTTGGAGAGAGAGAGAAAGAGAAAGACGGAAAGGGAAAGAAAGAAAGGGTGAGTGAGGGAAAAAGAGAGAAGAAAAAAAAGAAGAAGAAGAAAGAAATTGAGAGAAGCAGTTTTTCTCCATCAGTCTAGTTGTTATTTTCTGAAATCAAATTCAAGAAAGTTTGAAAGCAAATTATCCATCATCATTTTGTAGTAGCATTTTATTGCTGCTACTTATAATAATAAAAGTTACAGCAGTAGTGATTATAGTAGTGATAGTAATTGTAGCTGTAGTAGTAGTAGTAGGAGTAGCAGTAGTAGTATTAGTAGTAGCGGTAGTAGCAGTAGTAGCAGTAGTAGTAGTAGTAATAGTAGTGGTTGTAGTAATAATGGTAGTAGTAGTAGTAGCAGTAGTAGTAGCAGTAGTAGCAGTAAGAGTGGTAGTAGTAGTTGTAGTAGTAGAATTTGTAGTAGTAGTGTTTACTTATTTTCGCACACACTAACACAATCACACAATATGTATATATATATAGAGAGAGAGAGAGAAAGAGAGAAGAGAGAAAAAAAGAGAGAAAGAGAGTGAGGAAGCAGAGCTCTGTATATAAACCGAAGAGCAAGCGACAAATTATTTTCGCTAATATTGTGCTTGGTAGTTGAAATAATAATAATAACATAAATAATAACAATAGTAATTAAGTAACAACAACAACATAAGCAATATAATACTAACTTAAGTTGTATATAATAGTGAAAAAAAACTCAAAAACATTACAAAAGCTTCTACTGCGACTTCCATCACGACTACTACTACTACTACTACTACTACTACTACTACTACTACTACTACTACTACTACTAATATTACTACTACTACTGCTACTACAACTACAATTAATACCACTAAAATTTACAACTAATATGACAAAAAATATGGTAAATTATTTCAACTGATATGTCCCAGAAGTTATTTTTATTATTATTCTTGCTACTTTCGCGATTAATGTTCTTTGGTTATTTGTCATCCTGTGACGTCACTGCTACAGAAAGTTAGTATTATTATTATTACTATTATTTAAACTGGTAGTAGTAGTAGTAGTAGTAGTAGTAGTAATAGTAGAAACAGTCGTAGTAGTAGTAGAAGTAGTAGTAATAATAGTGGTACTACTACTACTACTAGTAGTAGTAGTAGTAGTAGTAGTAGCAGTAGTAGTAGTGGTTGTGGTAGTAGTAGTAGTAGTATTAAAATAAAATTTTGAGTTCTACATTATATGATCCTCTTCCCCCTCATGATCATCATCATCAATGATTATCGTCGTCACCATCATAGGCATTGTCATCATAACCTAAACCACCACATTACCACCACCATCATCAGCATCGTCGTCATCATCATCATCATAACCTTCATGACAACATCCTCTCAATAATTTAGCGGCTGGATTTGAACAATCTTTTTCATGTTGGTGATGATGATGATGGTGATGATGATGATGATAATGATGGTGATGATGATGATGATGGCAATAAGGGTGATGAGGATGCTAACAACAACGACAACGACGACTATGATGATGATGAAATGATGTTGTTGATGATGATGATGGCGTGAAGATGATGGTGATGATGATGGGGATGATGATGATAATTTTACACCAATTATTTTACCAATGATGATAACGCTTTGATGGAAACATTATAGATGATAATGGTAGCTTTCGAAAATTTTTATTTACCCATCATCATCTTCATCATCATCATCATCATCTTCATCATCATCATCGTCATTTTTTTCTTCTTCTTCATCATTATCATCATCAGCAGCAGCAGCACCATCATCATCATCATCGTCGTCGTCGTCTTCAATATCTATATTGCATTTCAAAGCAATTTCTTTTGGCATTAATTATAAATGACTGGATGATCATTTGGCCATATAACGGTTACAAAATCGTCATCATCACCACCCCACCGCCATCATCATCATCATCATCATCGTCATCACCATCGTCATCATCATCACCATCATTGTCATTGTCATCATCATCAACGGCAACATAGATACAAAACCAAAGAAACTAAAAACAACACGGACAGCACAATCATCCGAACTCTTAAGAGGATAATTAAATTATCTATGTTTTCTGCCAACTATTTCCTTTTCCGCTCTAAGTTTTGTTTTCTTTGTTTTCCATTTTGCCTGTGTTTTGTTGTTTAGTTTTTTTTCTATGTTTATTGTTCTTTGTTTACTTTTTTGTTTCTCTAAAATGTAAACTACTTTCCCTTAATTAGAAATTAGTCCGTCTTCTGGTTTGGTCATTTGTTGGTGTGTGTGTGTGTGTTTGCGTGTGCGTGTATGTGTATGTGTGTGTGTGTTTATGTGTGATTGTGTGTTTGTTTGTGTGTGTGCGTGTGTGTATTTTGGTTAATTGTGCCAATGTAACTTCATAACATCTAGATAAAATTAATCTGCCAGTCATTTAAATTAAATTAATTTTTAGGACATTAATAGTAATAAAAACAGCAACAACAATAACAATAATAATAATAATAATAATAATGATGTTGTTGTTGTAGTTGTAGATGATGATGATGATGATGATGATGGTTATTATTATTATTGTTGTTGTTGTTATTGTTGTTGCGTGTCCAAGCCAGAGCAGGTTATGCAATGTGAATGGGTGGCTATTTGGCCTACATGCAATCAGCATAAACATTCAAGTTACACCTCTGAGAATAACAAGAACATTAATAATAATAATAATTATTTATTATTATTATTTTTATTATTATTAGTATGAATTATTATTACTATTATCATTATCATAAGTTTTTGCAGTCCGGTGTTTATCACAGACAAAATATACCTGTTGTTGTTGTTATTGTTGTTGTTTTTATCATCATCATAATCGTCATCACCATCGGAGCAATCATCATCATCATCATCGTCATCATCATCATCATCATCATGACCGTTGCGATAAACGCCAAATGATTGCAATTGTAAATCATCTTTATTGAAAAACTCATAATGCCTTTGTGATGGTGACGATGATGATGATGACGATGATGATGATGATGGTGATGATGGTGAAGAAGAAGAATATGATGATTTTGATGATGTTGATGAAGAAGATGACGATGATGATTTGTACAAATTTGTACTATAATCCATCTATCCAGTGATTCGTTTGTTCATTAAGTCCCTCGTTCCTTTGTTTATAAATTCAAATTTTGCATGGACAAACAATTA